GATGGCAGATGGACTATTCTGACGATGTCTTTCATACTTTTCTGGACCTTGACAGTGCAATTTACTTGGCAGTCAATAGGACAGTCACAAGCCTCCCAGTTTTCATCCAAAATATCTTAAATTGTGTTCTGAAGACGAACGAAGCTTTTACGGGTTTGGAACGGCATGGGGGTAGGTGATTAATGACCAAATTTTCATTTTGGGGTGGAGTATCCCTTTAAGCTTCCGACATCTCTTTCAGTCTGAAAGAGTTTCCCTGAAAGTTTGCGTTAGAATAGTTTGCAAGTGCATGATTATAAATACTGTGATGCTGTATAAGCTGAATAGTGAGTGTAAGAGTTTTTGTTTTGGCATGATGTTTAATGTCCCTGACAACCTCGGTAGTACTATTTAGCCACTTTGCACAAAATAATCACAAGGGGGTATTACTGATTTGCGTTAGAATAGTTTGCAAGTGCATGATTATAAATACTGTGATGCTGAATAGTGAGTGTAAGAGTTTTTGTTTTGGCATGATGTTTAATGTCCCTGACAACCTCGGTAGTACTATTTAGCCACTTTGCACAAAATAATCACAAGGGGGTATTACTGATGAATTTTATGTTATAATATAAAATGTGAAAATATCTTGACCTTATTTTATATCTTGCTTTATTTCTTATATTTAACCAAAAGCCCATTGACAATTATTTTTCTGGGTTCTGGCCAAAAAAAACTAAAAACTCTTTTGTGAAATGAGTAAATATAGTGTAAAATAAACGGTTTAATTTCAGCAAATCTGTGTGCAGTATGTTTATTTACTGTCACTATTAAATTGTATTGTGTACATAAACAGCATTATATCAGTTATCTTGTCATTGTCAGTATCAACTGTTATTGAGTTGTGAGATATTACTGTTGATGTCTACTTACAGCATTTTTTCCAAACAGATTGGCAAGATGATTGTAGTCCTGCTCCGCGAAAGGCTGGATGGACTGCTGCTGCACACTCATTGTAAATAAAGGCTGCAGGAGGACACATGAGTCAAATCTTAAATGTAAACTCTCAAATGATCAAAGTATTAAACACTCATTGAAATGTTACAATTGAATTGTACCTCATAACCACCAAGCCTGACTGTGACAGTAACATCAACAGGATGGTTAACCACACCCACTACGGATTTAACTAGTGAAATGAAGAGTAGTGGGAACCAAATGATGCAAATGAGGAACAGAATGATAAGGCCGCCCATTCCATATTTGACAATCTTCTTTTTCTTTTGCCCTTTTGGTTGGGGATATTTCTGCAGAGAAAAAGTTTAAGACCAAAAGTAAGATTATGTACACATTAGAATCAAATGATCAAGATATTACACTTTCCATGAATAAGGTACAAAACCTAAAAGTCAAAAATAGTGATCAACATCAGGTAATCAAATAAAGTATTCTATAAGCCATGAGATTTGCCAGTTTTTTGCAACCATGTGGGATATGTTAGAATATGGTTTAAAACTATGAACTTCCATTCTTTAAAAAAAAAACATTGGGTAAAAAGGGTTTCAAGTACTTACAAATTTCTAGTGCTGGGCAACGATTATTCGCGATTAATTGCATCCAAAATAAAAGTTATTGTATACATAATGTACTGTATGTGTGTGTACTGTATATTTATTATGTACATATAAATACACATGCATGTATATATTTAAGAAAAATTTTTGTTTTAAACCTTTTATGTTTAAAAAATTGTTATATATGAAATATGTCTATATAATATCAATTATATGAATATAAATATATATATATATATATATATATACATGCAAATACATGTTTCTATTTTCAAAATATATACTGTATGTGTGTGTCTTTATATATATATATATATATATATATATATATATATATAATAAATATACACAGTACACACACATATATAAACAAAAACTTTTATTTTGGATGCGATAATCGTTGCCCAGCACTACAAATTTCACTTGAAGAATCAGATATTTAACGCTAGTTTTTTTTTTAATTCAAATTTATTAAACATATCTACTTAGTCAATAGTAATGTGACATCGATTTATATTCTGTCTAGAAAGTGCCACAAATATTCACTGTTTATTTAGGATCTTATGACCATAATAACCTGAATGACAAACGAATAACTAATCCATTTAGGTATAATCAAAAACATTTTTGTATGCCAAAGAGGACCTGCTACCTTTTCTGTCTCTCGGCTGCATTTAATGATGAAGATATTAGCGTAGATATCCTCCACACACATCCAGTTGACGATTATTCGCGATTAATTGCATCCAAAATAAAAGTTATTGTATACATAATGTACTGTATGTGTGTGTACTGTATATTATGTACATATAAATACACATGCATGTATATATTTAAGAAATTTTTTTGTTTTAAACCTTTTATGTTTAAAAAATTGTTATATATGAAATATGTCTATATAATATCAATTATATGAATATAAATATATATATATACATGCAAATACATGTTACTATTTTCAAAATATATACTGTATGTGTGTGTCTTTATATATATATATATATATATATATATATATATATATAATAAATATACACAGTACACACACATATATAAACAAAAACTTTTATTTTGGATGCGATAATCGTTGCCCAGCACTACAAATTTCACTTGAAGAATCAGATATTTAATGCTAGTTTTTTTTTTTTTTCAAATTTATTAAACATATCTACTTAGTCAATAGTAATGTGACATCGATTTATATTCTGTCTAGAAAGTGCCACAAATATTCACTGTTTATTTAGGATCTTATGACCATAATAACCTGAATGACAAATTAATAACTAATCCATTTAGGTATAATCAAAAATGTTTTTGTATGCCAAAGAGGACCTGCTACCTTTTCTGTCTCTCGGCTGCATTTAATGATGAAGATATTAGCATAGATATCCTCCACACACATCCAGTTGGAGAGAGACAGTGTCGTATCTGTCCAAACCCAGTCCATTACTGCTCGAAGCTCAACTAAAAAAGGAACCAGGCGGAAACTGAGGAAACAAATTAATTACATTTTAGTGTAATCTAAAAAAAAGGTGCCTATTACATATATGTGACCCTGGAGCACAACACCAGTCTTAAGTCACTGGGGTATATTTGTAGCAATAGCCAACAATACATTGCATGTGTCAAAATGATCGATTTTTCTTTTATGCCAAAAATCATTAGGCTATTACGTAAAGATCATGTTCCATGAAGATATTTTGTAAATTTCCTACCGTAAATATATCAAAACTTAATTTTTGATTAGTAAATATGCATTGCTAAGAATTTCATTTGGACAGCTTTAAAGGCGATTTTCTCAATATTTAGATTTTTTTTGCAGATTTTCAAATAGTTGTATCTCAGCCAAATATTGTCCTGTCCTAACAAACCATACATCAATGGAAAACTTATGTATTTTGCTTTAAGATAATGTATAAATCTCAATTTCGAAAAAAATTTACCATTACGACTGGTTTTGTGGCCCAGGGTCACATATCATTCTATTAGTAAATCAACTTTTGAAGAAGACACTGAAAAATGAAGAAAAGAAAGTGCCCACCCTTGGAAAAGGAAGAGATTGAGGTGATTGAATTTCTTCGTCAGGAAGTTTCCAAGGATTCGTGTAGGGTAGCCACAACGGATCTGATACGCTGACAAAGTGAAGTAGATGCACTTGAAAAAATACCAGAGCTGGGCCACTGAATTATGATTGAACATCCTGTGAAAATAAAGGAAATGATATACTCCTTGAAAAATATCTCATTTGTCTTTGGTCACCAAAGATCACAGAATTCGAAGATCACCTGTGAACCTCCTCTGATACTCAAACTGCATCTAAACACAGGTGGAGAAGCCTCCCTTACCTCTCAGTGACAGCAGGAAGGATGAAGAACATCCACAGGTGGATACCGAAAACCAGTATAACCTGGAAGATGAGCTTTCCCAAGATGCTCTTCCGCAAGTAAAGTGCACGGTCAATGATCATGGTGCTGAACTGAATGAGGAGCATGACTAGAAACGCCTCGGGGACCTGGTCCTCAGACAGGGAGGAGGCTATATCTGCTGCTGCCGAGTGTTTCTGAGACAGAGCAAACATTTCACATTCAAATGGCTCTCAACTGGTTTCAAGTCAAGAAGTCTATTTAATTTGATTTGCTAAATGTAGTATTCTTATACATTTATCTTATTAGTATCTTATTATTTGCATTTAGAGTTGATGTTTTAACTGCTTTAACAGACTCAAACCAGCGCTTGAGAATTTTTCATGTAGGATTGGTTCCAAATCATGCCAAATTATACTATTCCGAATGCAAATTCTGTAGGCATTCCTTTAAGATTTTTATGACTAAGAATGTAAGGTTTCTTATACTCACTCCAAAAGCCCAGAAACCGAACACGATGATGATAAAATCCACCACATCAGTAAGAAACATAAGAGCGTAGACATCAGTAGCTGCCCGATATTCTGCATGAAGGATGTTCTGGAAGAATCCACAGGTTGGCGTGTAGACATTCTTCACCCTGCACAGATGAAAACACACCACAAGATAAAATGAATGGCAGTCAAACCCAAAATATCACATTAATGCACATCATGAATTCCACTACAAGATGAGCAGGGACCTGTGAATCAGCAGACAGCTGGTGATATGGTATTGTATAAATTTGTGGTATGCTATATATCAATATTATTAGTTATTAATTTAAAAGATACACATTTATATATGTGATATATTGCAATATTTTACTCATGTTTTTCTTTATCTGCACTGGACCTTGCACAATTATTTTCTGATCGTGTGTACAGTTTAGATTTTGGTGAAATAAAAATAATGGAGACTTTACAATAAGATTCTATTTGTTAACATGAGTTAACTACATTAGCTAACATTAATTAACAATGCAAAATACTTCTAAAGCATTTGAGTTCATTTGACATGTACCAATACATTATTAAGATCAGATGATGTCGTTTTTGTTAATATTATTTAATGGACTTGAGCTAACATGAACAGTTGTATTTTTAACAAAGATAATAAATATGGTAACAGACGTATTGTTCATTGTTAATGTTAGTTAATGCATTAACTAATGAGCCTTTATTGTAAAGCACTGCCAAAATAACAGTGTGTGCTGATCAATGCCACAGTACACTGTCTTCTCATAGGTTTGCTCTGCACGGTAATCTACTTTTTTATATTAAAGGGTTAGTTCACCCAAAAATGAAAATTCTTTCATTAATTACTCACCCCCGTGTTGTTCCAAACCCGTAAGACCTTCATTCATCTTCAGAACACAATTTAAGATATTTTTGATGAAATCTGAGGGCACGCTGACCCTCCCATAGACAGCAAGGTAACTACCATGTTCAAGGTCCAGAAAAGTACCAAGATGATCGACAAAGTAGTCCGTGTGACATCAGTGGTTCAACTGTAAAGTTACGAAGCTACGTGAATACTTTTTTGGGCAAAGAAAACAAAAATAACGACGTTATTCCACATTTTCGTCTCTACTGCGTCACTTTGGATGCGCGTTCTCGACAGTACTATGACGCGAGCATGTGGCGGCGGTGACCCAGATCCGGCGTGATGACGTTTGGTACTTTTCTGGACCTTGAACGTGGTAGTTACCTTGCTGTCTATGGGAGGGTCAGAGAGCCCTCAGATTTCATCAAAAATATCTTAAATTGTGTTCTGAAGATGAACGAAGGTCTTACAGGTTTGGAACAACACAAGGGTGAGTAATTAATGACAGAATTTTCTTTTTTGGGTGAACTAACCCTTTAATGTGAGAAAAACAAGTAAAATATTGCAACTTTGCAATACACAACAACAAAATCAGTTTAATTCCATGCTGGAAAATCCAGTAGTTTTACATGGCTGTTAACTGGTCCAATCTGATCATTTATGATCATTAGATGATTTATCAGTGCTGGCAGACCAACTAGACAACAAACCAACTAGACTTTGATAAGCTGCAATGATCTAGTCTTTCCTGCTGGCTTGAGACAAAAGCAACGAGAATCTTACATGGATAAGAAAAGTCCTTTGAGTTTTCCTCCAATAGCATTCAATATTTTTTTACTGGTGTCCTTGCTGCATTTCTTTGACTTCTTCTTCTTCTTGGGTTCCTTCTGTCCATTGTCTATGAGAGGATTGTTTATACATATATCAAAATAACACTACACATAACAGGTACAGGTTCAGGTAACTCAGTACAATCTTACAGACACTATTTAGGTGTATTATATATCTAGTTATATACTGTAAATAATCTTTTTTTTCAACAGACCTTTATCGGACAGTTTTTTCTTGCGGAAGCGAAGGAAACGACTCTTTTTCTTTCCATCTGCCTTCACTGCATCAAGGTTTTCTGTGGTATCTGTTTGTATGTTGGGCTCTGGGTCAGTCTGTATTTCAGCATCGGTCGGTGTTTCTGTCGATGGTGTCATTGACAGCACCTCCGTGTCGGGCTCTGGCTGTGCTCGGCTGTCCTCTTCATCTGAGAGTTGAAAGACTTTCTCGTCTCTTTCATTCTCGTTCTTCTCCGCAGATGAAAGATTGCTCTTCTCTTCCAGAGGGCCCTCTTGGTCCCAGAGACCATAACGCTGAAAGAGGCAAAGTGAAAAAAAGTATATCACGAACAAACTAGATGACAAGTCATAATATATGAAAATGGTGTATGTAGATTGTAAGTCTTCACAGAAACGACACCATTATGGTTACATCATGAGATTGATTATGAATTCCATGTAGAATGCCCTGATATGTCAACATTGGATTTTATTTTAAAATTAGGCATGCAAAGGTAACTTCCATACCAATGCATTTCTTTCGAATTTAGAGTTTGAATAGAAACTTTTATAATAGAATTAACTTTTGTTAATATAAAAATGAACTTTTTGAAAGATGGTAAGCATCTGAAACAGGCTTGTTTTTTGAGCTAAACACCTGGAGAAGTGACCGGTGAAAAAAGAGGACCAATAGCTGGAGCAAATCATAACGGATGTAGTTGTCCGTTTTCTCCAGGCCCAGGATGCGTGGAGGGAAGAACGGCTTGTCCTCATTTAACTTCAGCTCATATTCAGTATTCCACGGGAAGAAGCCAAACTGAAACAGGTATTTGACCACCACCATGACCTGTGGCAAACACATGCCAGAGACACACAATAAGTTATTACTGTTCCACCCGCAACTGGTTTGCATAGTTTTAAAGCTTTGTTTTGTATATAGAAAAGCTTTTCTGCTGGAAAACAACAGACCATACCAGCTTAACCCTATAAAGCCTACTGTACCATATTTGATACCTCTAAATTAAATATCAACATGATAAAAACTTTGCTGAAAAATTCTTGTACACAATCTTCTACATGTCTTCTGTCATCTGATTGATAGTTTATACTTTCTTTAGCAAGTAAAAAGCATTTTTAGTGTAATTCTAAAAACCTTTAACCCCTTTAGGTTGAGCTACACATCTTTTGGCAGTGAAATCATTTAGATTTTTATATAAGAATAATAATAAGAATTGTTTTATATTGTAACACCTTAAATTTACTTGACTATCCATACATTTAAAAAAAGCTAACTTTTATTTTTTGGATTTTGTCTAAAGTTTCAATAAACCATTCCTTTTCTGGCTACTATTTCATATGTCAAGCTTTACAGGGTTAATACAGTCAAGCTGTTTTTGAAACATAGCAGTTGGTTTATTTATGGCCCAAGGTGGTCTACCAGAGTTAATCAACTTGACCAAAATAGTCCAAGGTTAACCTTGGTCCCACTAGCTGGTGGTCAGAATGGTCAACCAACAACACCAGCACAGGGGCGCGGGAAGATGTTTTCGGTTGAGGGTGCTGTGTGTGTCCGTGTTGGGTGAAAGGGCCCCCCCAAGTCCAAGGGGTGTTTGGGGGGGCTGGTTCACTTACGTCGGTGCTCGTGCTGGGGCTGGTGTTGTTTGGATGCTGATTTTGGAAAGTTTTTGCTGGGATGGGCATTTTAAAAAAATCAGAAATTCGCTTTTGCGCCATTATCTCCTTGTATTAAAGTTAATCTTGTTGGCATTCTGTACCGTTCATGTCTGATACCATGCGCTAGCGTCACATGTTCATGAGGATTAGGCTAATCATCCCATATAGAAAACATCACAAGTAAAATTAATCATGTTTATAAAGATAAACATGGGTTTAATATAGCCCACTTACAATTTACATTTCAGAGATCAAAACTGAATACATTTAAATGAACAAACTTGGCGCTGCATTTGCAACCATGTGAAAACAGGGGGTGCTGCAGACCCCTCAGCACCCCTACTTCCCTGCACCAGCATCAACCAGCTAGTTATTAAACCGAACACCCCTCCCCCAATAGAATAGAAATACAGCTTTCAAATTTTACTTTTCAAAGGTAGTTAAAAAAGTGTTTTATATATACTGTATAAAATAAAATAAAATAAAAAGCATTATCATGAACACAATATAATAATATAATGAGCATTATATTAGCATTTAATTCTTTTTTTAATTATCTGAAACATATCTGAATCAAATACCAAAGTCAGTTGTAACAAAAGCATTCTTCCCCACCTCTGTATAGATGATGGCCGTCATCCAGAACCTCTTGGAAGGTCGTGGCACAGACAGCATTGCCCAGAGAAAGACGAGAATTGGCAGCACCAGTGAGATGACAGAGGCTGTCACCAGGTTATTGAGCACGATAATGAAATAACAGACCAGCTCAGAGTGGGCCGCCAGAACATTATAGAGCGCAAAGAGCAGCTTCAGCAGTCGGTTCTGAGACGAGTAGAATTCACCACTCTGTATCAACTCCTCAACACTGAATGGCCTAAAATAGAGCATACAGAGAAAATAACTGAACTGCACAAATTGCAAAACAAAACAATTTATTTTATTTTATCTTTTTAGCAAAGAGGTCTTATTCACATAGTGTGAAATGTGAAAATATATAAAAATTGTAAATTGTTTATGCATCACACTGCTTTCCAATGCTGAATTTATACATTCATTCTAAATTAATGATAAATAACTGTCAATGCAAAAAGTTATGTCAATTAGATTAAAACGCACTTTAAAAAACATCAGAGCATACCAAAGTGCTGTACTCTTTAATAATGGCAGAAGATCATACAGTCATGTCATATAAAGCAGCACCTTTCTGAAAGCAGTTCACTTGCAGTTCTGGAGCGTCGAGGGCGGAGGGTGCGTTGGCTGTAAAAAGGTTCTGTATCAAGCTCTAATGTGAGTTCAGAGGATAGAGTTGTGCTGCTGAAGTCACGGGACTTTGGAAAACCACCCAGTGTCTCCAACTCAACCACACTGCAAAACAAATGGGACATTTGGTCGTAACTGACAGAAACAAAATACCTAAAAAAGACCCTCTGTTGGCCTCCTGCTGGATATCCCACACTGAAATATCATTGGTCCAAAATCCTTTCCCACACAGCTGTATATTAAACATCAAGAACTGTACTGTATATTCTTATTAGCCGTGATTGTCGTGTGGCAAATAATTTTTACTTTCATTATGGACATGTGATGTCATGTCTGGTTAGAACACGGCATTAATCTTAAACACTGCAAAAAAAAAGATCTAATCAAACATACAAAAGGAATTGTTTTACATTTTTTTAATATCACACAACTTTTGAAAAAGACTGAGACCACCTTGAAATTCTGGGATTCATAACCTAATTTAAAATTAGAAATAACTAGAACGGTTTATGATTTTGCAAAATTTAAAATTTAAGTTATGACTTGCACTAACATCATTCTCATATACTGATTTGGTGCTTAATTATGGATTATTATTGGTGCTCAATTTTTAATAGTGGTTCTTTACTGTCTATGTTGAAAAATGTTTTTGCTGCTTAATATTTTAGTGGAAACTTTTTTTTCAGGATTCCTAATGAATCTATTTGAAACAGAAATCTTTTGTAACATTCGACATTTCTTTACTAAACAATGAAATCTTAATTATACCAAACATTTTAATTGTAGTGTTACATGGTTTCCACAAAAAAATTATTAAGCAGCAAAAACGGTTTTCAACATTGATAATAATAAGAAATGTTTCTTGAGCACCAAATAAGCACTGTTGGGGAAAGTTACTTTTAAAAGTAATGCATTACAATATTGCTTTTCTCCATAAAAAAAGTAACTAATTACGTTACTTAGTTACTTTTTATGGAAAGTAATGCGTTACGTTACTTTTGCATTACTTTTTAAATCTGGACAGGGCTTGCTTGTTTGATTTGAAAATAAAAAAGTTTTATTTTTGGCAAATATAAAAGCCTTTTCACACCAAAAGTGAAATGAATAAGCCTCAGGTTGAAAGGAAAGTAAATTTCTGTCCGTACAGTAGAATGCAGAAGAAGACATTTCAACACACTTCAGCAATAAAAAAAAACACACAAATGTTTGTCTAGAGCCATTTTTGCTTATTAGTACGGTTGAACTGGAGCATCAAAGGTCAGAAGCAAAGACATTGGTTAATAGAATGGGATTAAATACATAAAGGATATTTGTGTTGTTTAACATTTAATTATTGCAGGTTTGCGTCATATTCTGAGTTGCATTGTTTTTATTCATTTTGAGGAATACTGAATCTGTGTTTTTTTGTGTGTGTGAGTGAGATGAATTAATGCATATTCATATTTATTTTGAACTACAGTAACATCTTCTGATTTCTGTCACCATGGCGACACCAGAGCTGTCAATCAATACATTGAAAAAAAAAGTAACTTGCATTACTTATTTGAAAAAGTAACTCAGATATTCTCGTGTAAATTAAGAAGTAATGCGTTACTTTACTAGTTACCTGAAAAAAGTAATCTGATTACGTAACTTGCGTTACTTGTAATATATTACCCCCAACACTGCAAATAAGCATTTTAGAATGAGTTCTGAGGAATCATGTGACACTGAAGACTGGAGAAATAAAATCAAGCTGTTTAAAACACATTCAAATAGAAAACGTGTAATAATATTTCACAATTGGTGATATTGACCATGTAAAGTCCTTGAACAATACAAAATTTGTTTGACATTTTTGGCTATGTAGACATCAGTGTAGGAAACTGGCTGCTGTCAGACTCACTTGACGTTACTGTTGAAGCGAACATTGTCAGTGTCCATTTCATCGAGACATGTCTCAACAGTGAGATTCTCACTGTCCTGTGATATCTGATCATCCATGGGCTCTCTGGAGGGTCTCTGTGAATGTATCAAAATTCATGAGAACATTGCCAACAACACATTGGATAAGGTTTGTTTGAGCGAGTTGCCCACCTGGCTGATGTTGTGAATGAAGAGGTAGCGCTCCTCAGAGAGGACCATAGAAGTGTCTACATACTGCTTGGTGAGCAAATTAAGCCACATAGTGAATCCGTCCACCATGGCCAGGAAAAGCACCCACAGGAACTTCAGTATGTCCAGAATCCTCTGCACTATATCACTGCCAGTGGCTTGAGATGCTGTAAAATCAGAATGATGCACTGGGATGTCATGTGAAATTCAAGGCACCCTCAAGCTCTTCCCCTGTTTTGCAGATTCTTACAGTAAGGCTGTGATAAAACTTTACACTTAAAAGGGGATATACAGTAGACAACATTTGAAGTGGATCAAAAAAGTTCAAAGTTGTCTTAAGAAAAGAACGCATTTTGGTTTTAGGACAACTTTGATGAAAGGTTTTGATCCACTTCAGATGTTGACTAGTGTAGTTATTTTCAAATGGCTGTGTCATTAACCTACATGTATTATCATTTAGGTAGCTATACACTACATATGTTCATAATTTAACTAACTACAATTAACTTGCTTAGCAAAACTCTCCTCAAACTGTTGCTCTGCTATCAGATCTAAAAGAGAAATCTGACCATAGAAAGACAGTTTACGCTAATGGCCGCTACAGCGGCAACATTGAAACTGCATTATGACTTGAAAAAGAAAAAAATATATATATATATTTTTTTTTATTTTACATTTATTCCTCGCCCATGACTTACCCACATCATCTCCTTCCTCTTGCATCTCCTCCCCTTCTTTCCCATCAAAAACTGCTTCACCCTCCTCAGTGTCATCTGATAACCACAGAGAGAAATAGACAACTTAAATTCTACTGTATTACGATGAAGTGTGCAGCCGATTGCTTTGTTTCTTTGTGTATGTGTTACTGTATGTTTAATATGCATATATTTCAATGTTTAACCTGTAGCCTGAGAGGTTTGTTGCTTCTTTGCTTCCGCTCTCTGCTCTCTCTGCCTCTGCTGACGGTCTGTCAGAGCTTCTTTTGCACTGGTGACCCAAGCCTGGTATGCCAGCTGTGGAAAACAGTTTAGACACAAACTTTACACATTTATCCCTATAAACACTGTCTTACCAAGCATAGAACAAAGTCAATACAAAGCATGTCACCTGAAAGGCAGTCTGTTGACGAGGTTTCTGTTCCTCCTGAAAGGATTCATCTTCCTCTCCGCTGTCAGACTCAAACATGTAGTATTCCCCAGAATGCAACACTAAAACGACAACATTAAATCATACTTAAACGCATTGTTGCAGTCTGAATTGTTGCTCTCTTTCAAGAAAATGTTCAAAACCCTCTGATGCACAGTGTATAGTGGACCAGGGTCATTATAATAATTAACTAAAACTATAGTGACTTCAAATTAAAGAAACAGTTCTCATTTTCTTTAGATTGACTTGATGTATAAAAAAATGAAATATAATTTTAAAACATTTATAGATATATTTATAACTAATGGAAATGACAATAAAAACATCACAACTAAATTAATAAAACTTTAAAATCAAAATACTAAAAAAAACTACAATAGTTACTAAAAAAATACTAAAATAACACCACAGTATACAGAACTTTATTAAATCTAAACTTAAGACTGCCATCTTCATATGATATGAAATGATTTGCAGACTCTGACAGGGCTAAGCTTGATATTCATTAAGTATAGCAGCGGATTGCGAGTATACCAGTCGCATGGTCCATCCAAGGATACTGCCACTGTTTGGACTTTGATAATAGTCTCTCCTTCTTCTGTTCCTTGGAGTCTGTGAAGTGAAATACACATGTAAGTAATAGTATGACTGATGCACTCTCACTAGTATGCACTTTCTGATTTCCATGGAATTTGAACAGTAATTTACAACATGCTAAACATCCTCTTCCTAGTGCATGTTTGTTTATTAAAAAGAAAGTCATTATTTTCTCACAATCGCCTAAACATTCCCTTCCTTTTTCCTATTTGTTTATTAAAAGAATACACCAAATAATAAAAAAGTTCAGAATATCTGTGCTCTCTTTTTATATAAACAATTTAGAATAGCTAATTGCCACAATGTTGTGAGTACTTATTTAGATATTTTTATTCTAGACAAAAACAGTAAATTTTGTAGTTTTTAAGGAAAATATTATGACAGCGTGCTTGACCGTGCACCGTGGGAAAACTTTGGGAACCACCACTCTAGGGCAACGCAGCAGCAGTGCAAAACTTACGGTCATAGTAGCCTTTGACTGTGCACACCAGACTGAAGAGCTGAATTACCCAGCAGAAGTTCTTCTGCATCTCCAACACAAATACACAGGCCAGGATCTAACACAAGAACAGGGCTGTTGTAAGAAAGTTGTTCTCTTTGTAGCTGTTTGCAAGTTATATGGCTTAGTGAGTCAGCGTAGTAGGACTGTTCACTCACAGACAGGAGGTTCTTGGAAATGATCACAGCCACATTGTATATGATCAGACAGTCCCAGAGGACCAGACGTGTACGTGATGGCTTGATCAACAGACGTGTGCCGAACAGCAGGAAGAAGAAACAGGCCATAAGATACCCCAAACCAAACACACTGATCCGAGTGGCACCGGTCACAAACAACACCGACAGCACAAACCAGAACATGTACCGAAACACCAGGACCTTTGCCATGTCCAGATAGGACCTTCAATACACAGAGAGAGAGAGACACACACAGATATTATTTTTCAATACAAGACATTAATGAAGCAAACAGTTCATAAAAATGATCAAATTCACCAGTTTCGTTTCTGTAGAGTAATTGTTACATTTAATTATCTACAGAGCAGTTTCTTATCATATTGCTGTCATTATTGTTTATAAAAGCAATAAACAATGTTAAAGAAATAGGAAAATGAAAATAGTCTAAATCAGTGTTTCCCAACCTTTCTTTAGTCGCGGCACCCTTTGGAAATTTTAAAACATTTGCGGCACCCTACAAAATTAATTTTGTCACAATATTTGAGTTTCTAACTTCGATATGATACTTTGAAAAGTATAGATATTCGGTACAGCAGGGAAGAACTGCAGAATATACTGTCATACAGATATTTTTAATATTATTAAAAAAATGTTGTCCATCAATGGTGGCAATCAGTAGGCTAATTTCTAATGAAAAGACCAATTTATATGACAGATTTTAATGTAGGCTTTTATTCATATGTAAACATTGTGAGATAGCTAATTATAATGGTAATTAAACAAAATTTTGCTCACTCAGTGTATTTTTGATTTTGCAGTTGAGTAATTTTGTTGCAGTAGCACGAGATAGCTTGATTTCAAACTTTCAAATGACAAGGAGGCTAAGCAGTTAATAATAAAATAAGAACAAATAAAGAAATTACTAATGATAGCACAAATAAAACAAATCACGATAGGCCT